TTTTTTGGTTGTTTTTTTGGTACCGGGCATCAAACTCACAACCTCACACTTGCCAGGCAGGCGCTGTGCCACTGAGCTAAATCCCCAGCCCCTAAGTGAGTTGTTTTTTTAGTTTTTGGTGTGTTTTTTGTTTTTTATCTTTTTGAGACAGGGTCTCACTACGCAGTTCAAGCCAGCCTTGAGCTCACTTTGTAACCCAGGCTGGCCTCAAACTCACAATGATCCCCCTGCCTCAGCTTCCCAAGTGCTGGGATTATAGGCCTGTGCCACCACGCCCGGCTCAAATCAGCTCTTTAGAAAGGTTATCAGCGCACACAAAGATGTGATAGACATCTACATGTTTTGCTTTTGATTTTGGTGGTGCTGGGGACTGATCCCAGAGCCCGGCACATGCTAGGCAAGTACTGTACCCTACCACTGAGTGACACCCACTGCCAGCCCTTGCTATTTTCAGACTGTAAACGTTTGAAGTATTGAAACTTTGGGTTTTCTGCCAGGCATGGTGGTGCATACCATAATTCCAGCACTGGGGAGGCTGAGGCAGGAGGGTGGTTTCGAGTTCGAGACCAGCTTGGGCTACAAAGTGAACTCAAGGCCAGCCTGGACTGCATAGCCAGACCCTGTCTGAAAAAGAAAAAAAAAGACAAAAAAAAAAGAAGAAAAAAAGAAAGAAACTTTTGGTTTCCTGCCTAATGAGGAACACTGGGAGTTCGTTTTAGCAGTAAAAATTCTTCGGCTATCACACGTTTCTGCCCTGGTAGCCTGTGCTGCGCTGTCCTAACAGGACCACAGCTGGGGTGATGGAGGAGCAGGAAAAGACTGGCTGAGTCTCTGGAGGCTGGGCAGTCCAGGACCTGGGGCGGGGTCCCCTGAGGACAATCTTGCTGTGCCAGCCCCTGGCAGAAGGGAAAAGGCAGGGCAGAAAGAGCTGAGAGGCAGCCAGAGAGAGAAGGGCCGAGCCAGTCCTTTCGTTGTCCCCACCACCGCCCGCCCTCGGACCGACCTCCTCCCGGCCGCTCCTCCTAACGCGGAGACCTGCGGGTCCAGTTCCCAACAGCTTGGTGGAGGTCCCACGCGCACCGCAACGCCTGTTAGACCGGGATTTTCACTCTCATTCACCACCGCGCTCTTCTCCCTCATCACAGTCACGTAGGTGACTACAGATTCTGTTGGAGGCAGAGTGACTTTAGCTCCACCTATTCTTTTTGAGTCTCTCACCCTTATCAGTCTCTTAATTAACTGAGTCTTTTATAATTATTGGTCCAAACTAGCTTTGAGTCCATGGACTCAGATGATCTAAGGCTGAACACTATTATATCACTTTATCTCAGGGCTATTTCAAATTTTCCCTGGCGCTACCTGTGCATGAGTAACCTGACTTGGCAAAATAACCCAAACCCCAAACCTCAAACATAATTATGCTGTTCTCAGCAGGCCATCGTTGTTAGACCTACATAGAACGCTGTCCGTTCCAAAGCAGAAGGCTCGGTGGTTCCACTGTCTTCGATAAGAGCGAGTACTATTCTCTAAACTTGCATTCACAGGCGTCCAGCGCGTGGGCGCGGATTTGTGGTAACAAAGCTGCCCGTGGGCACTTGCTTTCCAGTGCAGAGACGGTGGATCAGGCCCTGGCCCAGCACCCTCCCCTGACGAGAGGCCAACATTCCCAACCTCAGCCGCTCTTCTCTGGAACCTCGATGGCCTCCCACTCCGCAGACTCCACTGAACTTGAGGGAGAGGTCACAAATAACTGTTTCGCAGGCCCTTAGCATCTCCACAAATGTTCTCCCTGCCAAAACTTGGACTCTTCTCTTCCCACCCCGATCCTTTTTTCTAAGTTGAAAATCACGCGTTGTGATCACTACCTCTCCCCATGCCTGTGGGATAAAACTCTAAATTCTCACGTGAGACTGCTAACCAATGACCTGCCATTTGCCCAAGTCAGAAGGCCCTTTCCGCCTGTGAGGGTGTGATGCTCCTGAGCACACTGCCATTGTGGAACAAGCGCCCGGCTTTTTGGCCGGCTCCATGTTGCAGCACTATGATCCTTCTACCCTCCCGGCCGCCTCCCTTGGTCTTTTCTGCCTATGTCTCGTGCTCCGGCATTTCTCTAGGTCCTGTGCTTCTCTTCCCTTTTCTGTTCACCTCAGCAAATTCTTAATTACCATGTCTGGAGGAAAGCCTCCCAACCTGCAAAGCGCTCCTGATCGCCCACTTCCAGGGGACTTCACTGCACTTCCTCACGAACTCAAACTTCTGCTCAGAGCAGCTTCATTTTACCCGTGCGTCCGTTCAGAGTTTGAGTTCTTCCCGTTGAAAGTCTGACACCCTCCAATCATTTGACACCTTCTATTTTTCCTTAAGATTTCACTATGCCCTTTCCTTACCACGCATTCTGAACCCCTTAGTAATTTTTGTGAACTGCTGTTGCGTCTGCCCTTGTCTGCCAAAATTTTTCACTCCCATCCACTGATGCCAAGACAATCTTTTCAAAATGTGTCTTTGTGTCTACCACGTACCTGCTCAGATGGTTCCAGGATAAAGTCCAGGTTGCAATCCTTGTTTTTGCTTTTGAGTCAGAGTCTATGTGCGCTGTGTAGCCCAGGCCTCAAACTGGTGACCTTCCTGCCTCAGCTTCCCCAGGGCTGGGATTATAGGCATGCGCTACCAGACAGTTCCAATCACACCTTGATCTCACCTTAACCTACCTTTGTACCTCCTTTGCCTTGACAGGGCTGGAAAACCCACTCTGTTTTCTTAACCTGCTTGCCTCACTGCCTTCTCTCACGTTTGCCTCGCTGGAACATTTGCTGTCACAATCACTTGTTTCCCTTTCTGGAACCTCAGTGTTCAGCATCATTCTGAACTTCTTCCCAGCAGCCTCTCTCGCTCAGCTGCAGTGCATTCCCATTAGGCTCCTCGCTGCGTTTCATCCGTTCATCTGCAACCGGGTTGTTCCGTGCGGCTGCGTTATTTCCCTGCTAGATTTCGAGCAGGGCGTCAAGCAGCGCGCTCCTCTCCGGCCTGCTTTCCTCCTCCAAGGGGTCTAGTGAAATCGCTGTGTTCTGAAATTTTTTAAAATGGAAGAGAAAGCCAGTATATATGAGAACAAAATATGGAAAAAAGAAGTCAGGGCTAGAGTTCACAGCTCCTAACTTTTAATACTACGCTTTAGATATCCTTTCACTTGATAAGGATCTCTCTTCCTCTCCTTTTTTTTTTTTTGCCGATGAATTCATCACAGCGCTGCTCTCTAGGTAGAGGGCGGGGAAGAATGAGAAGGGAAGAAGTCAGGATATCAGTCTCCAAGACCTGTCACTATACAGTTCATTTGTGCTCTCGAGACCGGGCTGCAAAGCGTTAGCCGGGAGGACTGCGTCTCTGGTCGCCAAGCGTTGAGTTTTAAAAAAAAGAATGAAAAGCTCGTAGGTCATCTTAGACCCTCTCGTAAAAATGTTTGACACGGAGAAAACTAAAATGACTGCGAACGGAGACCAGGGGGATTCGCTTTGCGCGCGGGTGATCCCCTCCCCAGCCCTGGTCCCGCAGGGGAGGGCGCGGCTCTCCGCGCCCGCGCGTTTAAATAAAGACCTGGAAGCCACGCCCTCCAGCAGGAACGTTCCCACGGCACCGCGCCGCGATGTCCGCGCGCCGAGGCCGCGCTCAGCGGCCGCAGCCCGGCGCCCACCGGGCGTCCCATCCCA